CATGTCTAAAACAAGGAAAGTAGGCCATTATCTTGCACCACACACAAAAATTAACTCAAAATGGATTAAAGATGTCAATATAAGACCCAAATCCATACGACTCTCAGAAGAAAATAAAGGCAGTATACTCTTTGACATCAGTCTTAGTAGGTTATTTTTGACTACTTTGTCTCATCAGGCAAGGGAAAAAAAGAAAAAAATAAACAAGTGGGACTACATCAGACTAAAATCTTCTGCAAGGCAAAGGAAACCATGAACACAGTGAAAAGACAACCCCCTAACTGGGAGAAAATATTTGCAAATTGTATATCTGATGAAGGATTAATTTCTCACATATCTAAACAACTCTTACAACTTGACAACAAATAAACAAACAACCTGATGAAAAAATGGACAGAGGATATGAACAGACATCTTTCCAAAGAAAATGGCCAACAGGCACATGAAAAAGTCAACATCACTAGTTATTAGGGAAACCCAAATCAAAACTGCAATGGGATATCATCTTACATCCATCAGAAAGGATATAATTAACAAGACAAAAAATAACAAATGTTGGAGAGGATGTGGAGAAAAGGGAGACCCCATACACTAATGGTGGAATGAAAACAGGTGCAACCATTATGGAAAACTGTACAGAGGGCCCTCAAAAAATTAAAAACAGAATGAGGCCGGCCCGGTGGCACAGAAGTTAAGTTTGCACTTTTCCACTTCAGTGGCCTGGGGTTCGCCAGCCCAGATCCCGGGTGTGGACATGGCACCGCTTGTCAAGCTATGCTATGGTAGCCATCCCATGTATAAAGGAGAGGAAGGTGTGCACGGATGTTAGCTCAGGGCCAGTCTTCCTCAGCCAAAAGAGGAGGATTTGTGGCAGATATTAGTTCAGGGCTAATCTTCCTCAAAAAAAAAATAAATAAATAAAAACAGAAATACCATATGACCTGGCTATCCCACTACTGGGTATTTATCCAAAGAACATGAAGTCAACAATTCAGAAAGATATATGCTCCTTTATATTCATCGCAGAATTATTCACAATAGACAAGTCATGAAAGCAACCCAAGTGCCCATCAATGGATGAATGGATAAAGAAGATGTGGTATATATATACGCAATTGAATACTACTCAGTAATGATAGAAAGACAAAATCGTACCCTTTGTGGCAACATGGATGAATTTTGAGGGTATTATGCTAAGATAAATAAGCCAGGTAGAGATAGACAAACACCTTATGGTTTCATTCATATGTGGAATATAAACAAACACATGGATAGGAGAACAGGTTATTGGTTACCAGAGGGGAAGGTGATGAGGGGAGGGCAAGAGGTATAGGGGCACATATGTATATTTATAGGAGAGAACTAGAACATTGGTGGTGAACATGATGCAGTCTATGCAGAAACTGAAATGTAATAATGTACACCAGCAATTTACACACTGTTATAAGCCAATATCATCTCAATAAAATTTTTTTTTGAAAAAATGAGGGATATACACATCCAACTGATGAAAATTGTTGGATGTGGAGATCAATCTAGGATTTGTCTGGGGGTAGTTAATGGGGACTTCTACATTATTTTATTGTTTAAACAGTTGTTAAATTTGTTTCTATAAGTACTAATTTCCTGTTATTGTCACACATTATCACAAACAGAGCAGCTTGACACAGCACCCTTTTATTTTCTGTTTGTTGGTCAGGAATCTATTGGCTTTGCTGGGTTCTCTCCTTAAACTTTCACAGGAAGGAAAAAATGATATCAACTGACCTGTGTCTGTTTCAAGGCTCTGGTAGAACATTCTTCTAGGATCAATCATGTAGCAGCCCAAATGGGTTTCCTTCTCATGGTTTCCAGGAACAACCTCCCCTCACTCCCAAATCTTAAAAGTCAGCAATAGATTATCAAATCCCCTCATGCTCAAATACAATTTCCACTATAACAGTCACATCTCTGTTGGGGCACATACACCCTGAGGCAGAGATGTTGTTCTGTACTACATGCTGAAAAATGCCAATGCCTATTATGCACTCAGCAGTGGACATCACCTTCGCTAGCACCCAAAGTGGCCCAGATGGCCATATGGATCTGGACTTGTAAGACAGCAATGGGAGACTATGGCCTTCCAATCTTGAAACCTTTCCTCCTGATTTTCAATGGCATGGATCAAATGTGTGGAAAATAATAGAAGAAATTTTAACTAAATTGGAATTGAGAAGGCCTGTAGTGGGAGTTCTCACGCCCTATCATACGTCATCCATGACTCCAAACAGGAAGGGCCTTATTGATTCCATCTCTGACAGGAAGCACCGCTAATTTTCTACTGAAGGAGGATTTCTCTCCTCATCTGGCAACGCTCCCTCCGGGCGATGAAAAACAGTTCAGCTCAGTCAATGAAAAGCCACAACCAACCTGAACTGTTACTTCCCTTCAATAGACTTTCTTTAGAACATTCCCTGTCTACTTCCCTCTTTGCTCTAAAAAAGCAAGCTCCCCTCCTTTGTTCTCTGGATTTCCCTCTGGTTTGCCATAGCATGGCCATCTCAAGTTACAATCTTTTGGCTACCCCAAAGTAAACTCACTTTGAGGGTAACATAACAGAGGAATTTGCTTTTTGAGTTGACAAATTCTTCCCTCCCTCCACCTTATATCCCTGGAAAACATTGATTATTCTAGAATTGAGGAAGTTACATAGACTTATCTGATAGGTAACAAATTGCAAAATTGGTCTGTTTTAACCATCTGATCCCAGTGCATTTATTTGTGAGAAACATTCCTGTCACCACGTTCTTTCTTTGACTTGGTGAATTGTGAAAATCCTTCTCAGGTACTCGTTGGGTTCCGTTTCTCTATGTAGCTTAAATGAAGGTGCAGCTCAGGGGGTCTCAAGAATAAGCAACAACTCACTTTTGGATAGAAACGCTTGTCAGGGGAGCAGAAAATATAATGAGACACATGAACTTCCCCGCCAGTCCCTTATGTGACAAACTAAAGTATTACCTACTGCCTCCATTTGAGTCCCTCCACCCCAAGGACCAGGAAAAGAAAGAGTCTTTCCCAAACATTCCAATAGTCTCTTTGGAGATGATGACTCAAACTTGTAATTGGCAATTAACAACTAGGAGGAAAAAGTTTTTCACAAACATTCTCAGTTCCCCAAGCCCGTCCTCTCTCTGCATCTGAAGGTGAAAAGATGATTGCAATTCTGATGGGAGGTGAGGTCACAGAATTACAGACCCATATTTAGTCGTCTGGCAGCCTCGCTCCCTCTCACACAAGCAGGCTGTCGTGACCAGCACCCTGAGCCCACCGAGCTACAAACCAGAGTGAGTCAAGTGAGTATTTTCTATTTCAGTCTGAGAGCAAGAGTCTGCGAGTAAGGATGGGTATCAGGAGTCTGAGTGATTATATTGAAAAGTTATTACAGATTTGAACCTGGTCCAGTGTCACAGCCACACTGGAAGGAGGAATAATTTTGAGGCTTGTGCTGAGCTTAAACAGAGGTGAGATCATCTACCGCACCCCAATCCCTGAGGCCTCCTAAGGTAACTGAGTGTAATCCTCCCTGCCAGTGATCGTGGGTGTTCAATCCAAGAGATAATGAAACCTGAATTTTCATGTGAGAAATGGCTGTAGTTTGGAAATACCTCTGTGGTCAGGTAACTTACAGGAACCATAGGATACGTCTCTGGGATACTAGAGGTGTGCCAAAAGCACCTCCATGATTAACAAAACCTAGAATAAATCTACAGAAATCAGCTAATCCTTTGGAAAAACAGGGTATACAAATGACAATTGCTGGAACAGAAATAATTTTCTAGCTCTGGGTATGTGAAATGCTTAATGGAAGCAACAACTGTTTCCTACTCAAAACCTCCATGGTCGGTTGATTTTGGTGAGAGACCATTTTGCATGTTCAAATTACAAGGGAGCATTTAAAGAAATGGTAGTATAACAAATGGATTTCAGATAGCAACTTTCAGGCACAAAAGTGTCTTGTGATCTATTCTCTGGTTTAAAAATATTGTCACATCCATTCCAAGCTCTACAATTTCAATTTATAAAATAAGATTTCACATCTTAGGGCTCTCATATTCTATATGTGCTTATATTTTAACATCTAACAAATCTTGACTTATTGATAATACTTTTAAAGTCTCTTAATAAACAGAGATGTTACTATTTGAAAGTAGTGATATTTCGTTTTGCCTCTAATATGACATCGTATGTTGGTGTTTCAAGCCTCATATTTTAGGGCATGACAGAGTGTTCAGTGCTGCCTGCGCTAGATGTTATTCCATCCCTGGCATAAAAGCAAATTAATGTTTCTATGGCAATTGCAAATAAAGCCGAGTGTGTAATTTCAATTCGATTTGTCATGCAGCAGTTATCTAGAGTTAGTGCATGTACATTTTATTGAGATATTTGAATATTTATTAATAATTGTTATCAGTCTACGTGATAAATCAGTAAACATAAATGGAAACTTGTTAGAAAAAGAGAAAATAAAACAATACCAGTGTGAAATAAAATGACGAGGTATGAGAAATCTAAATAGACATCTGTAGCTTTGTTAGACCAGCACTGTGTTTAAACGCACAGCCATTATACCAACCCACTCAGGTTCAAAATCCAACTTTCCCATAAAAACAGTTTGAATTTGTCAAATCACTAAACCTTATCTGCCTCTGCTCTGCCTCTCTTTTGAATAAAAATCCTAGTACTGACTGTTGTTTGAAGTTAGGAAGAATATACAGGGTGCACTAGATATAGGGCCATTGTAGGAGTGATATGCACTGTGAAAGCTCTTTAAATGTTACACATTCAACTCTTGGAAATGTGAAGAAAGTAAAACCTATAAAAACAACTGTTTTTGTGTGGTAAGCAATGTCAGTGGAGAATATTGAGTTTCAGTTGACCTGATGCATGTAGCTCATACTTCACATTTCCATGCAGGAATCTCTGGCTCAAAAGACAGCTCTCAGTCCTTGGGATTTAAGAGAATGGCCTCCAGGGATTTGGTGATAGGAATGATCTTTTCACTACAAACCGTAGTTGGAATTTTGGGGAATTTCTCCATTCTTTACTTTTATCTCTTCCTACACTTGACAGGATGCAAGCTTAGGTCCACGGATTTGATTCTCAAGAATCTGGCTGTAGCCAACCTCTTAGTTTTTTTTTCAAAAGGAGTCCCCCAAATGATGGCAGGATTTGGGTTAAAAGATTTCCTCAATGATTTTGGATGCAAATTTGTTTTCTATGTTCACAGAGTGAGCAGGGATGTGTCCATTGGCACCACCTGCCTCTTGAGCGTCTTCCAGACCATGACAATTAGTCCCCTGAACTCCAGGTGGGCAGAGCTTAAAGTTAAAGCCCACAAGTACATAGCCACCTCTAATATCTTCTGCTGGATCTTGAACCTGATGCTAAATATTAGCCTCCCTCTGTATATGACTGCTAAAATTAACAACACAAACTTCACACAGAGAGAAGATTATGGCTACTGTGATGCGATACTTGATGGTACCGTCACACTGACCATCTATGTGGCATTGATATTATGCCGTGATGGTTTCTTTCTGGTACTGATTGTGTCAGCCAGCAGCTTCATGGTTTTCATCCTGCACAGGCACAAGCAGCAGGTTCAATACATGCAGAGGAACAATCTGTCTCCAAGATCCTCCCCTGAGTCCACAGCTACACAAAGCATCCTTGTCCTGGTGTGCACCTTTGTATCTTTGTGGACTCTCTCCTCTATCTCCCTCATTTGTTTGACAGTTTTGAACAATCTCAGCTGGTGGCTGAGGGACACTTCTGAGCTAATCCATGCATGTTTCCCAACTGTCAGCCCTTACATTCTCATCAACTATGATTCCAGAGTACCACGGGTCTGCTTTGCTTGGAATGGAATACGAAACCCCCTAAATTTTTCATAAATTTATCCATTTGATGCATAGTAACAATAGTGAATTGTTTTTCTTTAGTTGCCTTCAGCATATAAGCACATTCTTGAAACACTCACATTATAAGAAAATGGTAAACAGGACAGACTGAGCCTCTGCTCCTAAACAAACAATAAAATCAATAGCAACTGTAAATGAAATATGATGTAATTATCATGTTCCTATGATGTAATGAAAATTTTATAAATGTTTTCTGTGGAGGGGTTCAGAATTTATGCAGTGTTAAAAAATAGTTCCTGAAAAGATCTAGAAATTATGGAGAAATCTTGAAGAAGATAACTTTCAATCTGATATAATAAGTTTTCCAGACGTTAACGACTTGTGAGATTGTAGGAAAAGTTCTATAAAACAGGAAAACCCATTGAGATAAGCATTCAAGAAACTGAAGGAAGGAAGCTTCTCCCAAAGAAACACGAAGACCGTCAGCTTTAGCTGGTCACTTTCAGGAAGTGGAGCCATTGAGGGCTAAATTTGACTTTTGCACATTCCATCCTTAGAGGGACAGTAGTCATTTGAAATAAGATGTTCTGAAGGGAAATGAGTACATTTCATACATTTTCTTGTAGAAATGGCTTGATTGAACTGAAGTCAGACAGATGAGCACAATAGTATGTTTTCACATGTATCGGAAGGCATGGAGTAAGATTGCCTATGAAAAATGCATTGTGTCTCGGATAAAATTATATGGATTTTGGGATCTGTAGAAAGTAGACTTTACCTATAATTTGAAGATGCCAATTGAATATGTTGGCAGAAACAGTTCCCAGGTGGACTTCCATCTCTCACAGGTGAGGAAATAAGGTGATGGCGGAGACTGGCATTAATTGTGAAGCACAGGTGGAGTGGCTCTTTGGAAGGGTCAGTCAGGAATATATTTTTATGTGTTAATTTTCACCTGTGGATATTCAAAGGAATAAAATGGAAATTTCAGCAGTTTAGCAACTGATTTTAATGTCTCTTTACATTTACATTATAAAGCTGATACAAACAAGATTTCAAATATTTGAAACAACAAATTACTTTTGCCTAATGGATATATATTGAAATTTCTTGTGAAGAAATAAACACATATTTTAAGCTCACATGGCACACTTTGACCTATTGAAAACATATTCGACACGAACGCAATAGGCTTGTTGTTTTTATACATATATAAATATACACACGCTTGGGTATGTGTATATATATATGTGTCTATGATCATGTGAATGTGTGCTTGTGTATCTCTGTTTATATGTGCACATATGTATAAATATAAATGGAGCCAAATTTTGCCTATTTTTCATCATTTAATATATCAGAACATGGTCAATTACGGAAGAAAAATAATGCTAATTTGAATTATAATGCACTGCTTTAACCTTTGTGTCCATTTTAATCTATGTATATCATTATGCTGGTTGTTTAATTGGTTCAATTTACATGCTATATATTGTTGATTTTTGTATTTCAATCCTCATATATTAGGTATATCTCTTAAAGTATACTTTTGAATATACTAAAAAGTGTTTGATTTTCTTAAAAGTAGTCTTTACTGTTAAAATGAAAATGGATATATTTGGAAATGGATTTATTAACCTTTTATACATTCTTCCTTATAACTATTCTTAGTTCTTTTTCTTTCTAACTTAAATTTGACCATATAAATGATTTAGAATTACTTTGGTTTTGCTTCTTTTCTTTAGAAGTTGTACCATAAACTGGTTAACATTACATAGAATGCAATTTTCCTTTTCTATTTTAATCCCTCTATGTTAATTTTCTCTCAAAAATATTTGAATGAATATAGTAAAATATGTTTAACTTATCCAGAGTAGGAGTGTACTTATGTTTAATACAATAATAGTTACATTGGGATTCCAACACTAATCTCTTATGTTTTCCCTACATTTTATTTTTTTTGCTCTTGATCTATTTTTTAAAGAGTTAATGCCACATGCATAGGTCATAAGTGTAGCTCAATTAAATCTTATGAACCGAACATGCCTCTTAACTCAATACCTAGATTAAAACATTGAATTTTGTCAGCACATGGCAGAAACCACATTTTTCTATCCACCAGTAACTACTTCCATCTAGTAAACAATGATGACATTTAAAAGCACAGAAAATGTTTAGCCTGTTTTTAATTTTGTGCAAATGAAATAATACAGCATTCATGTATTTGTTTTTGATTTTTTCAATCCTTATATTGTCTTTGAATTTATCAATATTGTTTCATGTTATGATGGATTATTTATTTACCTTTCTGTATAAGAATCCATTCTATAAATATCAAGGAGTTAATTTAATCATTCCACTTTGTTGTTCATGTGAGTGATTCTCAGTTGGGGGCTATTAGGACTGCTATTCATACAAAATTATTATCCTAGTTGTGAGAAATGTTTTTCCATCTCTTGGATATACACATGTAGTTGAATTTTTTGACTCTGTGTTTACAACTATCCAGCTCTGCTACATATTGTAAAATATTTTCTCAAAGGACCTCTTTAAACCAATTTTAACATCCAATGGCAGACTATGAGATTCCTAGTTCATCCACATCATGCCAATAGTTGATATTTTCTGTCATTTTCATTTTTGGAGTCTTGTTGGTGTATGATTGTTCCAAAGGGGGAGGTTTCCTTTCCACTTTTTTGATTAGTAAGGAAGTTGAATACAATTTCATGTGTGAAATAGACTTTGGCTGGTGATTTTTTAAAGTACATTTTGGTTTATATTTTCCCAATATTTCCAGTTTTATTGAGTTATAATTGACGTAAAACATGCTGTAAGTTTGAGGTATAGAATATAATGATCTGATATGTGAATATAATGATCTAGATGAAAAATGATCACCAGAGTAAATTTAGTTAACATCTATCACCTTACGTGGTTACAACTTCTTTTCCTTGTGATGAGAACTTTGAAGATCTACTTTCTTAGCAATTTTAAAACATAAATGCAATGCTATTACTATAATCATCATGTTGTACGTTACATCCCCAAAACACATTTATCTACATAAACTGGGAGTTTGTATCTTTTGACCACCTTCCCCCAGTTTCCACCACTTGTCAACCTCCATTTCTGGCAACCATGAGTACCGTCTCAGTTTTCCTGAATTTGGTTTTATTATATTCCACATATAAGTGGGATTATACGGTATTTGTTTTTCTGTTTTTTTCTCATTGTTCTATTGAGTCATCTTTCTTTTTCTTATTGATTTGTAGGAATTCTTTATGCGTATATATATATATATATATATATATATACACATACACACATATATACATACATATATATATATATATACACATATATGATACAAATCCTTTCTTGGAGCACTATCTATCTCTCTGTTTTTTGAGGAAGATCAGCTCAATTTTATGATAATGTAACTTTTATTTCCTCCATTATATTTAGGGTTTTTGTGCAGTTTCAAAAATATGTTCCTATTCTAAGAAGATAGATATAATCTCCTTTGTTTTATTCTATGAATACCTTTGTGTTTCTTTAAAAGTAGGTCACAACTGTACAGGTATAATCGCCTACGTTTTCTTCTATAAATACCATTGTGTTTCTTTAAAAATAGGTTACAACTGTATTCAGATTCGCTTTGTTGTGATGTTTGTACCAAATGATATTGTTTTCCAATGAGGCTAATAATTTTCAATTGATTTAGAAAATAGATTAGATATCTTTTCTTTTCTCTCCTATTATTCCCTTACCAAGTAACATCAAATCATCCTTGGAGCTGACTATTCTGTGCCTTCTTGTAGCCATTCTCCCCATATTGTCTTAACTCTTAAAGACCTTAGCAATCCCATGGTATCACTAACAAAAGTCTTGTTGTCCATAACCTTTAATGGGCCTATTTATTCAGAGGATCAGTTTTACTCATCTTTAATGATAAAAGTCAACCGTGTTGTGACATACTTTCCCCATGCATTGCTTATGTTTTTTATGTCTTTTACCAGCTTTAGGTCCAAATTATCTTATCAATGAAAAGGTAACAGTGTATATAACAAATACCCTTCCAAGATGGAGGTTGTTCCTTTATTGGGGCAAAGGGCTGATTATTTACTTCACTAATATAATAAAGAGAAGGACTTTTTCTGAGGCAAAATTGGGCAGGGCTGCTTGTGAACTACTTTAAATTACTGAGTTTCTTAAGTTTATACATCCTCAGGTGTCACGCAAATCTATGGTGTGTCCAACACCCTCCTGGGCCCGTTTGCATTGCCCCAACTGTCTTTGAGAGGAGGAAGGGACAGAAATGCAAGCTTACAGCTCCTGCCGCCAGTAGAGCCATAAGAAATTGTCTTTTGTTGCAGACCCAAGAGTCTCATGTGTTTGTCCACCATCCATGAAATGATCACGTAACTCCTTTGATACCAAATAGCGTAAACTTTAAGACCCTTCTCTCTTCTTGACACTTTCATTGATAATGGAATGCTGAGAAAAAACATGGCTTTCTGGAAGGGAAAATGTTGAAGATCTTTCCTGGCCCTTGTTATGGGATGAGAGAAGATGCCCTGGGACATGTAGTAAATTTTCTCACCTAGTGTTGGTTAGGGGGAAAGGAAGGAACCTCCACTCTCCCACATGATAATGAGGCTGATATGTGAGAATTTGAATTGACACAAGCAACCTGAATGAGTTTTGCTCATTGTTCATTCTCTTCCTGGCAGAAGGAGAAAGAATCAAGGGTTCTCCAAATTGATCTAGAGCTTTGGGTGAGTAGAAGACATGATAACTTCATTTGTTTGAGCTGTAAGTGTGACCAGGAAATCAGGCAGGGAAAGGATTCCTGAGGATCTCATCAACTACTTACATCGTCTGTTAAAAGTTAATCAGAGAGGAAGAAACTATGTGTCCTGTTGCACAGAAATTGATGTCCCTGTTTTGCAAGTGCTGCTATCTTGCAGAGAAACTCACACATTTGCAGCAAGACCCCTGCGAAATATTCCAGCACCAAGCATCCTAAAGTT